AATAACCTTCTCCCTGTGCTACTCTGTCACACATTCAATAGCCGAACGTCTTTTTATGCCGACTGTTCCCAACGGAGCATGTTTCATGCCCCTGTACAAACCAAGGAAATGCTTGGAATTGATTTCATTTGACTGTAGCTAACAGATGATTCACTCTTTTTGATTCTGTAAATACCTCGGAATCAGAATTGGAATCCTTTCATGTGCCAATTACCAAAAGGACAAGGGAATTATTTTGGTACAGGTGGTGGCATGAAGTGTACGATTAGACACATAATCAGGATAGATATAGATAAGAGAATTAATAGAAGAGGATAAATAGAGAATAAATAACTAAAAATAGAGAATAAAAAAATTTAAGTAGAAGTTGGAATAGAGTGCAGAAAAAACTGAAGATACAGGTCCAGTATGTATTTTGATTTTGTCCTAGCTGAGCTACAGCTTTGAATTTTGGAAGCATATGTCAGGTTTAAAGACCTGCATGTTCTGTGGCATCCAGCAGCCTGAGCTCATGCAGGTCACACCCAAGGACAGGCAGGACAGAGAGCCCCGTCCCATCAGTGGACCACAAACTTGCAGGTCCGGCCCTACTGAGCCGTAGTCGGCACCGGGCGCCACGGAACTGTGGACAAGAACAAACAGGAAGTGGCAGGATATGGCGACCAACTATGAAGGAAGTGTACAGAAAACGAACATGAAATATCAAGCTTAACTCCTATGGGGGCGGCACATATAGGACAGGTTCTGTGTGTTTCGGGTTTTTATTGGGACTAACAGCGGGCGATGATTTGATGGTGCCTGAGGTGACAAGGTCTTCATAGTCCCTGACACAAGGCTACAGAAACGTACGGGTGATTCTGGCTGGGGTGTCCATGCACTCAGAAAATGCAAAGGACAAGTAAAACAGACCTGGCAGCTAAAATGAGATTAAACTGAAACGTAAAACGCAGACGGGGGGTCTGGCTGAGGGGGGAGTGATTTTGGGTAGATAATCAGTTACTGAAGATGGACGGGTGGGTAGAGCTTTAATCAGCAAGTTCATTACATTCATTTATTAGATGAATGTACAATTTGTTATGCGATTAGAGGTTGTGTCACGCGAATGCAGTAAGTCTGTTACACCAGGATACCGTGATTCCTCTGTATTTTATAGTGCTTGTCAACCTTTAATAATCGGTGCGATATAAATAATATAATTACAGGAAATGCCATTAGGTAGAACGACCTTGAGAAAGTCGTCTCTAAACATGCACAGAAATGCCTCAAAACAGCTCAAATCGGCCGCCAAGCGCACACCTTCGTAAAGTTAATCTTTTTATTGCTTGTTTTGTAGATGGACGGGCGGTTTGTCCCCGAGTCGGTCCCAAGCAGGGGATAAATGTGTCTGTGTCAAAACTGGGTCAAAATTACCTTTTAAAATACTATGTCCATTGTAAATATTGCATTTTGATCAAAATGTCCATGGAAATTCACCCTGGCGTTGAGTCCTGGTCCTGAGCACAGACACCAACATTGTGTATCATTGTTTGTTCGCCCTTTGAACTGAGAACTGGTCTCTGTCAGGCGTTGCTACTCATTCCAAAGCATCCGAGGAGGGGGTTTGGGGGGGGGGATGGAGTGCGACACGGGCTCTGCTGGCCCCCATGGGGGTGGTGGAGAAGGGGAACCTGCAGTCAGCCAGACCGCT